TTGTTTCTGTCCATCACTGTTCTTATCTTGATCCTTTCCTGGCCAGACCCAGTCTGCTGACTATGTTCAGTGTTTTACTCTCTCTGTGCACTGGACTCTTCCAGGTGCCTCTGGTTATTATATCTCTCATATCTACAATAAAAACCTCCCCCTTAACCACACCATGGAAAGGTCATATTGTCAGCTTATACAATAAATCCATTGTAACAGATAACAAGGCAAGGTGAAATCTATTTTGTTGACTGTAAAACCAAAATTATTATTTAAAAGCTATGTTGTCCCTAAAACAATTTTATCATCATATAATTCCATCAGCGGCATTGGTACATGAATACCCTATCTGTTTATAAATAAGAGGTAGGGTTAGTCAACATATCCTTCTGAGGACATAGTATGATGCCAGGTGTAGTCATACTATTTGTGCAGGTCTGGTCTGTTGTTTTCTTTGCTGATCTTGACTGGCAAATGCTAAGGAAACAATCTTCTTAGATTGTAACATACTCTTCATCCTTTGTATTGCCTTTGCAAAATGTTAGGAAAACTTTCTAAAAGAACTTGAAAAGTCTTTGGATTTTTAAAACAGTTGTGTTTCTTTGTGGAAAAAAAAATCTGTTCTTTGTTGATTCATGTTCATGCTGAACCATTAAATCCTCACGTAGGGAGATAGCTATGAAAGTTTTTAAAAAGACATTAAAATACAAATGGAACGCAGACTCTCCCCTGGGGGAGATTCACATTGCTTACAAAGAAGAACTGAACTTTTCATAAAGATGATCTCTCTAAGTAGGCAGTGCATGCAACAGGAAAAGCTAAAAGACACTCAGTAGGGAAGGCTTTTTCCATTTATTTAATTCAGATTAAAAAAAAACTTGGTTCTATTTTTATTAGCATTTATGCAGTACACTGAACCTTTACTTCCTGTTCTGCTCCCTCTTAGAGGTGAAGGCCTCCTGAGACGCCATGTATGAAAAAGTGGTGGTTGAGAGCAGGGTTGGGGTGGCTTTACCTCATTTATAATGATCCAGTGACAGTCAAAAGCAACCAGATTAGTCTCCACCACCTAGAAGAGAAAACAAACACCACATCATCAGAGTTAATCATGAAGACAGAGCCACTCTAAAGGGATCCACTCCGTAAATGGACAAAAACACTGTCATCAAAGTCAGGAATCAATTACAGATGGAAGCCATCAGCAGAGCAGTGTGATGCAGCAATGCTGGCTGGCAGATGGGCAGGGGACTCGATAAATACACTGGAAGAAAACATTTATCAATATTAGAAAAATGCCAATTTAAAAAGGAAAACCATTTAAATAATAATGTTTCTAGATTTCCCAGATTTCAGAGCTCACATCACATCCCTTGTTCTAAATACATTTCGGTGCTGGAATATACCTAATAAATATCCAAGTAGCGTTATAATCTCATTTGATCACAACTTAATGCCTTTAGCATCTCTCTATGTGTGTTCCTGTTCTGAGTAAACTATTCTACAAAATGGTTGTGTTGTATTTGAGGTAGTTTTGGTTCTAAAGTTAAACTGTAAAATAGTAAAAGCAATTCATAGCACATTCACAATAAATTATAGTTGGGAATTTTTTGTAGCTTTTAGGCTGATAAAATGTAAAAATGGATAAGCAATATGTAAGCAACAATCCTTTTGTTTGTTTTTGAGACAGGATCTCATTCTGTAGCCCTGGTCAATGACCAGGAACACATGTTTTGACTTAGACCAGGCTGGCCTTGAACTCATGGAGTTCCTGCCAATTAGAGCTGTGGAACATCATGCTTGATGGGGTAGCAATCTTGGCTGATAAACTTTGAAGATTTGACATAGGCCAAATATAGGCTTAGTAAACTCTGAACAAATATGTGTGTGTGCCTGCATATGTGTCTGTATGCTTGCAATTGCATATGTGTATGTATGTAGATATGTATGTTCAGCTTTTGTAACACAGCTTCCATTCATATTGTACACTTTCTAAGACATATTCTTACAGCTCATGTCAAGAGCACACAATGAGTGAGGCTGCTGCTTTGAAATAAATTATTATTCTCAGTGGTAGTATTTGTAGACAAGACTTGATCTCAAGTGAGTATGTTTTCCATTAATGACCAAGAATGTTTCAAGATGTGAACTGGATTTGAGGGTTGTTTTCTGCCTATGAAAACACACTGCTTCAAAGGTGTCTTGAATATGAAGAAATCCAATGCATATTTGTTATACCATTACATGTTTTTTCTCTTCAAATACATTATTGTTTGCACTTGTTTTTAATGTTGATATCTCATACTATTTCAATATATGTCCTCTGAATCCCATGAACTTTCTGGGATATACAGATAATGAGCTATCAGAAAAACTAAAGCCTGTTTTCTATTTTCAGATTTTATCAGTATTGATTTCAGTGTATCTACATGACCACTTATAGGTGAAATTTTTTATGGAGGATATTGCATGTGACAATGTCCAGTTTTAACTAATGAGGAAAGCACTTTTTAATCTTCATATCACTGATATCAAAGTTTCTTTTTCATTTTTAATTTTCTTCATTAATAATTAGAGAGGCATATCAATGATTTATTAACAATGAAAAGCATTAGAAAATAAGTGGGAATTCCAACAGAATTTAAAAAAATATAAACCCAACATTAGGTGTTAGGAAAATTTATCTCTGTATAAAATAGAAAAATGCATATATGGAGAAAAACCTTAAACTTAAAATATGGACTAGAGCTGGGTGGTGGTGGCGGTGGCACATGCCTTTAATCCCAGCACTTGGGAGGCAGAGCCAGGTGGATCTCTGTGAATTTGAGGCTAGCCTGGTCTACAGAGCAAGATCCAGGACACCAAAACTACGCAAAGAAATCTTGTCTCAAAAAACCATATATGTATGTATATATATATATTAGAAAGAAGTTAAGGCCAAGCCACAGATGACACAGACCGAAAGTGCTTCTAAGTTATTAGTGGCAAAAATGGAAGAAGTAATTTAGGAAATAATTGCTCTTTTTAGGCTAATCTCTCCCTTGTATACAGGTTAAGAAAATTCAAGTTATGTGAATTCTACATTACATGTAGTTATTGTTAAGAAGTTGTTCTATTGCAGAACTGTGGGATTACTACACAGCCACATGGAGAGTTTGTGCAGAAAGTGAAAGTAATCTCTTCCACCATGGTCTTAAATAAACAGAAGAGAGCACAGAACGGTATGGAACTTCCATAAAGAAGGGCAACCATCTTGTCTTAGACCATGATGCAACCTGCCTTCCCTCAGGGACAGTAAGGAAGTGCTCTGCGGTACTCTCCTTCCCCCAGAAATATTACAATACAAAATCATTCTAGCAGTATAAATATGAGACAAGGAAAAGGCTATATTAACACTTACTGCAGGTAATCAGTTCCTTTTCATATTGTCAATGGAGACCTCTTTTCTATGGGCGGGCACCTGTATGGCCCTTTATTCGAGTATGTTAGTTTTCCATCCACAGGCTGCATGTTCACTTGGAGACAGTGTCCTTTAGAACCTTTATTAGGCTTTTCAAGTTGGCAAGCCCTCTTCTGACTCTGTGATGGATGGTGTTTTAAAATCGCTAGTCCAATAACTTTCTTTCAAAGTCATGTTCCTGATTCCAGCCCAGATAATGTGAGCAGAGGTGATGCAGGACACTTCCAAACCTGCATGCCTGTGCCTGTGTGTTTGTGCCTACTGCGTGTGCCTACTCGCTATCCCTTGCAGCATGTGGATTAGGTCACTGTATCATGCCCAGGGGCACTTTGAAAGTCTCATTGGCTCTGGCACAGAGAAGAACTTTTCTCCACATTCTCTGCTGTCACACTGAGCTAATATGAGATAATACATTTGCGGTCTGCTCCTTGAGAAATTCAGACCGTCCTGTGTAATGCAAAGCATTGATACTAATAGTTGCTCTGTATCTTTTTATAATCTTAAATTTCAATTAACACAATTAGTAGCATAACTGAGTCTTTGTGAATTGGTGAAGTTTTGATCTAAAAATTGTCAGGTGTGTGCTGGACATTTTTGTGGGTATTAAATGTTTGAAACTTCCTTCTCCAAGTGTATTTTTCTTTATAGCAGGAAAGCAATCACTATTAGAATGATATGTAGTAATGAAAAGGTAGAGATGTCATGTCCGTTTAACCACACAATGAAGAATATTTATACATAATACACATCTATGTAATACTGTAGCATCAAGTTTCAATGAACCACTTTTTTCCCTACTATAATACATGCAAAATATTATCTGGAAAAATGTCCACTAAAAGAGGAATAGAATTCCTTAGGTCAAGGTTAATTGTTCATGAATTAATAATAAGATCACATGAGTTCTTGGAGTTTTCTTTTAACTGAATGTTACTGAAAGAAGGGAATATTTTAAAGGAACTGATTAGAAAGATAGAAAGATCATTTGGAAAGGGGGTAAAAAAGGACAGAGATCAACAGCCTAGACCTTAGAACTTCAATGACGACTGCCTGAAAAACAAGTAAAAGGCACAGGGGGCATATCAGAGAGGCTGAAACCCACCAGAGAATGAAAGGGAAAGCAGGTGAGGATGCTATCCTCCTCGCAGATTATCAGCCCCAGCTGACTGTGCTCATGTTGAAGGAAGACAGAGTTATATAAAGGAACTTTAGAGCTGAGTATAGATAAGGAATGACCACTGGAAGTGATCGCTGGGAATCCAAATCAGTTTACCTGATTGGTAATATTTTTATTAATATTTTTAGTATTTTGATCTCTTTCCATGTCACAACACTTTAGGTTCAGTAATGCTGTAGCAGGTTATCGGCACTGATGAGTTAAAGGACCAAATTCTGGATTTCAGATGTTATTGTTTTAATTATTTCAAGGCATCTGAGAATTTCTAACTTCTTTGTATTTATTTCAATAGTTATGTCAGAATTCTATTAGGAACGATTGCTTCTCCAATGATGTATTCTCGTTGTCAATGTGACTGGATTTAGAATCACCATGGAAACACACTCCAGGTATATCTATGAGGTGGTTTCCAGAAATGCTTATCTAAGCTAGAAAGATCTACCGTGAATGCAAGCAGCAGCATCCCATGGACTAGGAGAACAGATCTCTTTACCTCCACTAAGAGACTTGGTGCTTTCAAAATAAATCCAAAGTTATACTGATCTAACACAATGGGAGGCTGGAGAAACAGAAGTTAAAAGTATATACTGCCAATGGACCATACAGCATCTACCTTGAGAAGACTCCCAACTGACTTTAACTCTAGTCTGAGAGGATCTGATACCCCTTCTGGCTTCTACAGGCACCAGGCATGAGCATTCATCTCTCTCTCAATGTCTCTCTCTCTCTCTCTCTCTCTCTCTCTCTCTCTCTCTCTCTCTCTCTCTCTCTCTCTCTCTTCTCTCTCTCTTTCCTTCCCTCCCTCCCTCCTCCCCCCCTCTTCTGCTTCCTGTCTTCTGATATATCCTCACCAGCTGCCATACCTCTGCTGTCACCCTGGCTTCTCTGCGGGAATGGACTGTGTACTTTCTTAAACACTGTAGCAAAATAAAGCTCCCTCTTCCTTAAGTAGTTCTTGTTTTTTTTTTTTCTCCACAGAAGCTAGAAAAGTATACATCTTTTCTCATCTTTCTTACTTAAAGAGCACAACTCACATTTTGCCAGTAAA